GGGGGGGCGGCCTTACCTGGCAAGGCGAGCACCGAGTCGTATATTTTGCAGCTTACCAAGCCAGTGCTCTGCATTATGCACGTCATCCACAGCCCCTTGTAGGTGGCCTGGGCCGTGATGATGTTGTCGCCCGCGTACGTGCTGATCTGCCACTGCGGGAGAGCGGTGCAGGCCACCAGGCCGATCCAGCCCAGCAGGGCCAGGGAGAAGCCCAGCAACTGCAGGCCCGAATTGGCCATCTCCGCCCTCACGATAGACGGGGCTCCGAGAGGACGACTCTACAGTAAACAAAAACTGGCGGGGGTGGCGGGGGAGCAGCCCAGCCCCACACAAAGGCAAGTCGGGGTCGTCTGGGCCAACGGAAAAGCAAACGAGTGTTTAGTCCGCGACTGCTAATCTTCTCGCCGCCCAAAGTGAACAAACCGATTTCCCGGCGGGGCGAGGGTCCCGGGGCAGAGAAGACTGGCTACGCCCGGTAGGAGTGGCCCCGAACGAAAGCAATTGGCGGTTCCCTCCGGCGCCGTCCGGCGGACCCACCTAGAAGGGTGGGGAGGGGGGCTGCCGGCGCGGGCGCGGCCCGCGCGAAAGGAGCTTCCGTGGTCGGCAGGCAGGTGCAGGCGGACAGGTGCGGCGCACCTGAGTATTTGTAGGGCGTCGGGGGCGCGCCCCGGCGGGCTCCGGGCGCGCGGGAAGGGAGAGGCGGGACCTGAAGGGGCGGCCGGGGGTGACTTGACGTCACCGAAAGGACACTCACCTTCACCGGAAGTCCTGTCCTCTCCCCCTCCTAGCCCAGGTAAAGAGGAAGAAACCTGAGCACTAGGGTCACGCCCCTCCACTGGCCCAGCTTTCTCCTCGGGGGAAGAGGCGGTGGCTTTTCGGGATTGCCAAGCGCAGCGTCTGCCCCTGGGGACTGGACCGATTGATTGCCCTCGGGGACCAGTGTCCCATTTCCTTCTCCGGAACAGGTGCGCCAGCGACGCTGCGGAGCCGGAGCTAAGGGACGCCCCCTCCCCGCTCAACTCCGCCTTCTCCCCCCCGCGGCCAATCTTGGCTTCTGCTCCAAATGCTTTGGGTCTGCCTAGCTCTTCGGGTCCACCCTCTGCTCGATCCCTTTTTCCCCAGCCTCCTTTCCCAGGGGTCGTACCTTCGGGAGAGTGGCCCTGACACCGGGTCCCCAGAAAGCCCGCCCGGCCGCGCAGCACTTCGCTCCCGCGGTCACTTGCCCGTCCCTGACCTGGCCTTCCATCGGACACCCGGGTTCCGGACATGCCGTCTGTAGGCCATCGAGTCGGTTCCGACTCCGAGCCACCCGGTGCACAACGGGCCGAAAGCCCACCATCGTTCTCACGGCTCAGCCCACGGCTGCAGCCACGCCGTCAGTCGTCTCGTCGAGAGCCCTCCTCGTGTCCCCTGACCTCCACTTTACCATCCACGATGTCCCTTTCCAAGGACTGGTCTCTCCCGACCACGAAGTACGTGAGACGAAGTCTACGGCCTCTGCTCCCCATGTTTCAGGCATGCCCCCGTTCCGATCCCAGACAAAGCTTCATGCCCGAGCCCTTTTCCGCCCCGGGTCCAGCCGGTAGGTTAAACGTTGGGCTGCTGACCCAAACCTGGCCGGTTCAAACCCAGCCAGCCTCTCCTCCGCGGAAGTAAAAGGAGTCGTTCTATTCCCTTAAAGGTTTAGTCCCAGAAGCGCCATGGAGTAGTTCCACTTTCTCCTGCAGGGTCTCGGCGATTCGGAATCTACTCTGACGGCAGGGGTTTGGGTTGGGCTTTGGCGCTTATCTCTAGCCCCCTCCCCCACCCGTGTCAGTGCCCCCCTTCACGCAGAAATGAGCAGCTCACAGGGGGCAGAGAGAAGGAAAAGCTGTCCCCAACAACCCCCCACCCCCACCCCAGTTTCTCTTCTTTGAGCCTGGACTTGACTTTGAGTACACTCTCCCACCCCCTCACCTTGATGTCCTCCTTAACACCTGGACTCCCAGATAGGACCTTTGAATCAGCCTCTGGCCCTCACCTCACCATTGCCCAATTCTTTCTTCTCTTTCTTTCCCCAGTTCTTTAGCTCATTTTCCCCAGAGTGGCGACGCCATCTCGCCATCTCGCTTCCACACATCCCTTCCAAGCACCTCCATCTCTCCTTTCCTTATCCTTGCTGTACTCTCCTCAGCTCTCCTCAGCTCCTCATCCCACAGCCCTTTCTGGGTCTCCCTGGGTCCATCCCCACCTCCCACCCCCTTGGAGCCCAGCACCAAGTCATCTCCCTGTTCTTCCTGTGTGCCTGTCTCTGGCCCTATCCTGCCTCGTCAGACCCCGTCTCCAATACCTTCCTCACACTTGTCAGATCTTACCCCCCTTAATATCCCTCACTCGCTGAATTTTCCTCTCTCCTATTTTTTTCCACGTCAGAGCTTTCACGTTTCCCAGCTGAGTTCCTCCATGTCCACGATTTCTCCCTGAATCGTTCCTTCCTTTACCTATAGGTATTTTAAAGCACCACACTAAGCTGATAAACCTGCTTTTCTATAACAAGCCTTTTTTAAACTCCTCAATTCTTGGTGTTCTTGATGTCCTTTTGATTAATACGTTTTTTGTTTTGTTTCTTTCTTTGAGGTGATGGAAAAATTTGAGATTAGCCACTGCTGGTGGCTGACAATATGATGAACACATTTAATTTACTGGTCTGTACGTGTGGAGGTGGTTGAAATGGCAAACATTTTATTAGCTATGTATCTGCCACCATTTAAAAATATATATTTTAGAAAAGTGTCTTCCAACTCCGAAATCCCATGTTTCTTATTGCTTCCGTATAATCAGCCTCTCTCCAAGTTCACTCCCACTATCTCAGGACAAGCCACCCCCCTCTCATACACAGACCCCACTAGTATCTCTGAACCAATCTCCCTGCTTCCGGCTACAAACCATTCATTCTCCAGAGGGATTATTGTGCCATGAATCATTTCTCTATGCCTTTGCTGGCCATGGTCTTGTAAATCCCTGACTGGCTGGGACAACACAAATAAGGTGCATAGAACCCTTGCAGGAACCTAAAGTCAGCTAATGCAAATAAGGTACATGAAACTCTGCTGGGGCCTGCTGATGCAAATTCAGTGCATGGAACCCTGGAGGGGGGGCAGCGGGGGAGGCGCTGGTTGGTGAGTTCAGTCTTGCTGGAGGGTGGCTTGGTGAGGAGCTTGCTATGGAACCAGCTTCCCCGGCCGAGGTGTTTGAGTGGGACCCGGGAACTGTAACACCGAAGACAGTGGGAGCCGGCTCAGGAGCAGCAAAAGCAAGCGCTAGCAAGGAGAAAGGGCCTGAGCAGGGCTGGGCAGCAGCAGCTGATCAAAACACTGTATCCTGATTGATTCCTTTTTGCTTCTAGGTGGATCCTGATCCCTAGCTATAGCCTGTCACTTCCCTAACGAATGCCATAATGACTGGAAGCCCCTTTGGGAGCCCTCCGATTGGCTGCATGCATGCGTGCACGAGTGACAACCAAAGATGAGAGGCAGAATGCGAAGGGTGGAGGGGGAGAGGAGGTTCGGGCGATGGTGGAGTGGTCCAGCAGCACTTTGGGGAAGTTGGACAGGGTGACACGGTGAGGGTTAAGGGTTAGGTCGACTGGACACTGCTTACTGAGGGTGGGGCAGAACCCAGCCTGTCAATTGGGTCTCAGCCTGAGGACACCTCCTCTTGTGTCAGCGAGAGACAGAGATGAACCGAGCTCTCTTTAGCCCTTTGCGTTCCCATTCGGTTTCTCAGATCTCTGGCCGCGACGCCTGCCCTTGAGCCCAGGAGCCTTCAGCTGGGCCGACTTTGGATTCATGCTTACCTCTGCGTGCACCAACTTGTGCGCCCCCCACCCCCACCTCTGTCTTGGCTTTGTCCATCCTGCTGCCTGGTGGTCAGCTTCTCCGAGTTAGGCGCAGGCTGACTCGAACCAGACTGGACTTACCTATCCCACATCTGTGCGAGCCAGCTCTTGACATAAACCTCTTTCTCGCAACAACACACACAATCGTCTCTGGTTTTGCTCCTCTGGAGAAGGACCCTAACCCAGACATCTTTTACCTCTGCCTCAGAGAAACCAATTTACGCTGATTCTCCTAGAAGAAAGTAGTCCAGGATCTTCCCTTACAACGCAGATCTTGTCACCTACTGTTTAAAACCCTTAACATCTTTCAATAGCACCCTTGGGCTCATGGCTACACCTACACAGGAAAACTGTGCTCCCACCACATTCCTTCCCCCGCAAAGTGCCTTTGCACATTATGTTCTTTATACCTGAGTGCCCTTTCTCATCTCCCATCCCCTCCCTCCGCCACCACCTTCCAATGACCTGATTCATTCTTCAGCTATCAACTCCAAGATCACTTCTGTGGAGGCTGACCTGACCACTGCGCACTGATTAATTCAGGTGACTTGCTGAGTGAGTCTGAACTTTTCTTTCAAAGCTCTTGTAATCATCGGTGTTATGGACTGAACTGCATCCCATTCTCCACTCCCACCCCTCTACCTGTGGTTAGCATCTCATTTAGGAATAGGTTGCCTTTGGTATGTTAATGAGACAGGATTATAGTGTAGTTCAGTGTGATGGATTGCTTTTATAACTTCTTTCTAGTCATGGTCTTATAGTGCCCACCAAATGACTGGGTAGGGCTCTGCAAATAAGGTATTTGTGGTCCACCGAGGGGAATGGAATGCTGGCTAATAATTCATATATGGTACGTGTCACCTTTGTGGGGCTGAGACCCAAACAAAAGGCTGGGCCGGGTTTGCCATCCTGCTAGGCTTAGCATAAGCCGTCTCAGGAAGAAAGACCCTCTCTGGGTGTGGAGCTTATCTTTTGGACTCCCTTCACTGAAAACCTCCTAGTTCCAGGACACATACGTAGAGTGAGAGAGAGAGAGTGGAAGAGAGAGAGAGTTGACTCACCAGAGATAGTCAAGATGATGAGAAGCAGCAGCAGCAGCGCCAGATCAGCAGTGAGAAAGCTGAGTGCTTTGGGGGCCTTGCTGGCAGAATGGGGTGCTTCTGGCCACTTGGAGAAGATAGACTTTACGAACCGACTCGGCAGAGCACCTCAGAGAAGGAAGATTATTGGTAGAGTGGAGTGCCTCTGGGCACTTATTGGTGGAACTAAAGAGCTTTGTCATCCTTATCCAAGCAACCTAGACTCTTTCCTTGCTCAAGAGGCCTGCAGGGCCAATTGGCTATGGACCAAGATATCCAGGCGAAGAAAGACCTGTCCTCCAGGTGTCCTGACTGAAGAACTGTACCCCAAGTTGTTCTTGGTCCTGAAGCATAACCTGTTACTTCCCTAATAAACCTCATGATCGTGAGTATTGATTGTGTGTTCTGCGAGTTCATTGCAATGAATCATCAAACCCAACAATTATCGCCCGCCTACCCTCCCTCACAAACCCTTGATAAGTTATACATTATTATTTTCATATCTTACATCGTCCTCCATTGCCTCTCACCCACTTTTCTATTGTTCATCCCCCTGAGAGGGGGTTATACGTTGATCCTTGTGATCGATTCCCCCTTTCTTCCTCCCACCCTCCCCTAATTCTCCTGGTATCATTGTTGGCCCTGGGGGATTTATCAATCCCTCATTGTTGGCCCTGGGGGATTTATCAATCCTGGATTCCCTGTGTTGCGGGCTCTTGTCTGTAGCAGTGTGCATGTTCTGGTCTAATCTGATTTGTAAGGTAGAACTGAGGTCATGATAGTGGGGGGAAGCAAGCACCAAAGAGCTAGAGGAAAGTTGTGCATTTCATCGGTGCTATACTGCACCCTGACTGGCTCATCTCTTCCCTGTGACCCCTCGGTAGGGGGATGTCCAAATGTCTATAGATGGGGATTGGGTCTCCACTCCTTACTGCCCCCCCC